TGACCTTCATTCTCCCAGATGGCACAGCTTAAGCCGGCACAGGTGGCCGCCCGCATGGCAACAGCTTGGCACAAGGAGTGCCATCCGAACAGTCCGGGAAGGAGCTCTCATTGAGCCTTAGCTCCAGTGAACAGCTTGGAAACCAAGATGCCCAAGGAGGAAACCAAAGGGGCCGAAGCCAGGAGAAAATTGCAGCAAGGTGAAAGATGATCCGCCTGGAAAGAGGCCCTTGCAAGACGGAATTGGAAGAAGGCATAGAGTCATGGAAGGGACCACAAGGGCTATCCAGTCCAACCCCATTCTGCCATGAAGGAAAAGCACAATCAAAACACCTCCAACAGATGGCTATTCAAGCCTCTGCTGGAAAGATTCCAGAGAAAGAGATGTGGGACACTGCAGCTCTCAGGCAAGATATGAGAACTAATCAATATTTAGTGTACCTTTTGTGGAACTGCATTTTCATATGTGTGTTTCTAGAAATTTTATAGTATTTGTGTGCTTTTGATTCTGCTGTGACCTACCTCGAGCCATGAAGAGGTGGGTAAGAAACATAATAATAATAATAATAATAATAATAATAATAATAATAATAATATAATCAACGGATGACCCAAAATGCAGACTGTGCAAGGAAGCTGATGAAACCAAGAAAATCACACAGAGGGACTACAAACAAAGACAACTCTGTGGCTCAGATGTTTCACTGGAACTTATGTCACAAGTACCACCTGCCAGCAGCAAAGAATTGGTGGGATCATAAACCCGCAAAGGTCATGGAAAATGAACACGCAAAAATACTGTGGGACTTTTGAATCCAGACTGACAAAGTTTTGGAACACAATACACCAGACATCACGATTGTGGAAAAGAAAAAAGTCTGGATTATTGATGTCGCCATACCAGGTGACAGCCGCATTGAGGAAAAACAACAGGAAAAACTCAGCCGCTATCAAGACCTCAAAATCGAACTGCAAAGGCTCTGGCATAAACCAGTACAGGTGGTCCCAGTGGTCATTGGCACACTGGGTGCTGTGCCAAAAGATCTCAGCTGGCATTTGGAAACAATAAACATCAACAAAATCACAATCTGTCAATTGCAAAAGGCCACCTTACTTGGATCTGCGCACATCTTTCAAAAATACATCACACAGTCCTAGATGCTTGGGAAGTGTTCGACTTGTGATTTTGTGATACGAAATCCAGCATATAGCTCTCGTTTGCTGTGACATACTGTGCTTTTGTGTCAGTAAAATAATAATAATAATAATAATAATAATAATAATTATTATTATTATTATTATTATTATTATTATTATTATTATTTATATGTACATAACAACAAAGCACACATACACATTAGTTCCAATTGTCTGGGATTTGTCCCAGAACAACAACAATTGCAAAGACTCTGGCACAAGCCAGTAAAGATGGTCCTAGTGGTGATCAGCACACTGGGTGTAGTGCCTAAAACCTTGGCCTGCACTTAAACACAATCAACACTGACAAAATTACCATCTACCTTAGATGCCACCTTACTGGGATCTGTACACATTATTCGCTGATACATCACACAGTCCTCGACACTTGGGAAGTGTCCAACGTGTGATCCAATACAACAGCAATCTTGTTGTGTTTCAAATAATAATAATAATAATAATAATAATAATAATAATAATTGAACATAGGATGTCCCCAAAGCCTCCATACATGGGGAAAAATTAATAAAATCATATTATGTTTTATATTATATTCTATATTTTTAGTAGCTTTTACTTTTGGGGCCACTGAAAAGCCACGTTGAAAAAAAAAATTCAAAACATGTATCCTTCAAAGGATCACATTCAAAATGCAATGGCTTGCATAACAACAGATGTATTGGAATGTCTTTGCCATGAGTGGGGACAGAAGGCTTCCTTCGCAAGTTGAAATAAGTAACCAAAGTGTAGAGAATATTTTAAAAAAAATTTGCAAGGAATATTTTGTAAACAAAGGCCCATTTGCCTACAATTTCCCATTCTCCCTATATAGGGCGACTTTTGGGAAACCTGTAGTTACATGCAAAAAGTTCCTTTGCATGCATGTAGGAAAGGTGTGTAACACATTCACATTTCAAAAGTATTGCAGTTTTTACTACCTTTTAGTATGAAACAAGCCCTCCAAAATGTGAAACCCGCCCTTCCAGTCTATATAATAATAATTGCAGTGCTCTGATTCTACTTTCACGGCCATGACAGCATCCTATGGAATGTGTTAAACCCTTACCCTGGCAGGACTAAAGACCGACAAGTCAGAGGTTCGAGCGCAGATGAGCTCTCTCTGTCAGCTCCAGCTCCCCATGCGGGGACATGAGAGAGACCTCCCACAAGGATGGTAAAACATCAAAACATCTGGATGTCCCCTGGGTAATGTCCTTGCAGGTGGCCAATTCTCTCACACCAGAAGCGACTTGCAGTTTCTCAAGTCACTCCTAACACGGAAAAAAAAATCCTGTGGGATTCTCCTGTTTCTAATTTGGGGATGCATTTGCTGGCCAAATGCTCAAAATACCCATCTCTAACTGCAAATCCCAGGGTGGAACCTTGGCAGTTAAGAGTGGAATCGAAGCGCTGTAATCCTGTAGTGCGGAAGAGCTGTTGGTATTTAGGAGAGTATCAGGCACAATGGAGACACTTGAAAAATGAACAGACAACCAAAGTGAAAGGCAGCTTTTCTCTCCAACACATCAACTCTTTTCTGATGGCAAACCGCACAGGTTGCTCAAACCTTCCAAGAAATGTTTCCCTGCCCTTCCCCAGGGCAAGCTTTTTTCTCCAAGGACAAGGTGATTATCTTGCTGAAATATCAGTATTTACACTCCTTGGCTGGTCAGGACTCAAGCCTTGCGGGATGGAAACCTGCCAAAGAAATCTTGTTGCCAAAATCTTAGAGCTTTATGGTTGCATTTCATTATGAGACTTTCCTATCCCTGTTCTAACCTGGCAGCATGAGGGGACGAGAAACAAAAGGGAATGGTTCATCCTATGGAACTCACTGCCACAAGATGAGGTGAGAGTTACAGGCAAACCAGCCCTTCCATGTTGTTTGAAAAGTCAAATGCAGAAGCTGGAAAAGTTACAATTTTTTAGATAAAAAGGAGGAGGGCAGGGAATGAATGTTGCAGCACCTATCAAACTAACTGGTTTTGATTTTAGCATGAGCTTTTGTGGCTACAAACCCTATTCTTCATGTGCAATACTGAGTGCTATTAAAAGCATAAAGCCTATTTATGAAACAGTTGTGGGAATGGGGTAGAATGTAATCATATCCTCCAGTTGTGTCTTAAGCTTCAGGATCAACTGACAAAGGCAGAGAAAGTTGCCTTCGAAGAAGCCCGTCTGCCATTATCCAGATTGCCATTCCTGGAACCTTTTGGGGTGATTTTGGCACCAAAAGCAACACAAGACATCTCACCGCCTGGGGTCAAGTAGCAAATGGTGTCTTCTCCCTCCCACTCCCAATTTAGCCAACTCAAATTACATAGTGTCCAATACCTATCAAATTATTTGGATTCACAGTTTCACAAGAATTTTTCTGCTCACTGGCAGGAAAAAACAATGATGATGACGATGACGATGATGACAACAACAATGTGCTGTCCTTTTATACTATCCAAAGTCTGGTGCCTGACACAACTCTGCCTAGCAACACAATTTAATACACAGAGTCTTGAGTGTGCCATTCAAGATGTATGCCTTCCCATTTCATTGCACTTGTTCACCACTGAGTCTAGTACGACTCCAAATCTATGGATTCTGCATCCACAGGTTCAACCATCCATGGCTTGAAAATATTCCTACATTCTCCAGAGAGACTATATTAATGAGACTTGAGCATCCACAGGTTGTTGGTATTCATTTGTGTGTCATGGAAACAAATCCCAGTGGATACCAATAGCCCACTGCATTTCTTTATCCATGTTTATAAACTCCTTACATTGAAACATTTCAGAATCTATGTTCAATCGCTATAAAATGTGCCATACAAAAGAATGCATGAATCCATATGCAACAAATATATGATAATATTGCCCACAGGAATAACACAGAAAGGGTTGCATGAAAGTAGGCATGGGCCAGGCATGTAGCCGGGGGGGGGGGGGGGGGGGGGGGGGGGCTTGAGGGGCTTCAGCCCCCCCCCCCCAAATTCTCATGGTGGTCCGCAAGAAGGCCTTACTGGTACATTATTTAAACTGTTATGTTTATTCATATCATGATCTGATCACCATACTCAATATATCCCATATGCATGGGGGTATTGGGGTAACAATACAAAAGGTTTGCTAGGGTAGACCCTCTTTCACTCAGATCAGCCCCCCCCCCCCCCGAATCAAAATCCTGGCTACAGGCCTGGCATGGGCAAACTTGCCTCCAGGTGTTTTGGACTTCAACTCCCCAATTCCTAACAGCCTCAGGCCCCTTCCTTAAGCGCTGAGGGGGAAAAGGAAAAGGCCTGAGGCTGTTCAGAATGGTAGGAGTTGAAGTCCAAAACACCTGGAGGACTGAAGTTTGACCATGCCTAGCATATAGGGTTAGAGGGGGCTCCTGGAGCCTTTGATACAATAAAGGTGCTTCTGCATTAAATGCCCGGCTCCATAGGATTTTAGAGTTGAGCTCAGGAACATGGGAAGCCATCAGGTACATCAGAACAAGTCTGTAAAGAATAATAAGATGGTTTCTCTGATACATTAGGTCTGCGTTCAGCTTTACAGTTGAGTGATGGCTCATGTCAAAGCTCTCCCTCCTCCCTGCTTCTTTTCCCACAGCTTCTTGGCTCATCCTTCCTTACCTTTGCCTTCTTCCCTTTTTTCTATCTATCCATCTCCACTTGGATCACTCCCTGCACTGTAACTTTTAAAGCCAATTTTTAAAAAGGAGACACACACACACACATATATAAACAGTTGCCGTCTTTTGGAGCCATTGAGTTAATTGATAACTCCTCTGTGTTTCAGGAACCCAAGAAGTACTTTGGAGAGGCTCAGGGTGAGACGATTTGAGAACCCGCTGTTGCGCATTTCAAGCTAAAAACCACTTGGAAGTTTCCTTCCTTTCCCAAAAGGTCAGGACATTGTATGTCCCTTTCTGTGTTTACCGGCTGCCCTTTGTGTTTTGATCGGAGAGATGTTCCCTGGCAAAGGTCCTTCAACGGTCGCAGAGTGCTTTGATGCCACTCAATGGCCTGGTTCACCCTGGGAAGGTGCTTTGGGCAGAGAAAAAGAAGGCCAATACCCCTTGCCTGCCATTTGAAAGAAGAAAATTACATAAAAAGAGAAAGGAAGGGCTTTAGGAAAAACTGATGGGCAAAAGCAGGAGAAGGGAAAGTGCACCTGCAGATTGATATTGTGCCCAACCTCTCACTGATGGCAAATTTAACATGTGTGTCCAAACAACACCTGAGTGTGGTCAAGTATGTATTGCAAACTTTTGTTGTTGTTGTTGATATGTTTGCACTTTGAACTTGGTTTGCAACTACCGAAGTAAACTGTGGACAAACTTGGACATTTTAAAGCAGTTAAAAAAGAGGGACAGGATGGGATGAATCAGGGTTAACTCCAAATGAGACAGGAGACGGAGGGGTCTTGGCCTTCCCCATAGACCAGGCATGGGCAAACTTCAACCCTCCCTCCAGGTTTGTTGGACTTCAATTCCCACAATTCCTAACAGCCTCAGGCCCTTTCTTTTTCATTCTCAGCCGTTTAAGGAAGAGGCCTGAGGCTGTTAGGAATTGTGGGAGTTCAAATTCAACACACCTGGAGGGAGGGTTGAAGTTTGCCCATGCCTGCTGTAGACTCAAGCAGAAGCAAACTGTGGCAGCAACTTCCTTGTTGGGCATTCTTCCTCACTCGTAGCTTTCACATCTTGACCACACTCTGATGTTGCTCTGCTGCACATGTCCCTGTTTCTGTCCATTAAAATGTTGGAAGGGATGGAACACTGTGCCAATCCAGAGAGTCCCAGACCAGAGGAGGGAGCAGTAGCTTTGGTGGATGGATAGTGGAGAGATTGTTAGAGTGGTCAAAAAGCCCTTGCGGATATTTGTGGGGAGGGAACAGTCAAAGAAGAGATGCATCTTCTTTTGATCAGAGAGAAAAATAAAAGAAGTGAACCCACAGGTTTTGGAAGTGCCAGTAGTTTTGGCAGAAGTGGCAGAGCAATACAATGAGTATCACAGAATTAGCCAGGCAGGCATGGGAAGAAGACATGAATTGGTTCTCTCTAGATTGCTGTGAGTTTGGCCATGTTTCAGTCGCATTCTCTCCTGATGTTTCACCTGCACTTGTGGCTAATGGCACCTTCAGAGGTCTGTTGAAGGTGAGGTGGGTGGAGTGTATATTTACCAGTGGAATAAAGTGAAGGGTGGGAGAAAGAAACCTTGTCTGTTGAAGCAAGTGTTATTGTTGCAATTAGCAAGCTTGAATAGCATTGAGTAGCCTCGCAGCTACAAAGTCAATCAGCGAGAGTATTTGCTAAAACATCATCCATAATATTATAATAGTAAATAAAGAACAGTAAATAAAACTCAAACTCAAACACAGGGGAACTCCAGACAAGAAACAATCAGGAACAGCCAATCACCTTTCAACAAAGGATTCCCCCAGGCAGTAACAAGCCACACCTAAAAACTGTCAGGCCATCAAATGCTAATCAAGGTGGCCAATTGAATCATTCAAACCTAGCTCAAACAATTAAGAGTTCTTTCTCCCACCTTGGACTTTCCATAGATATATAAACCCAATTTTCCTAGTTTCCAACAGACCTTACAGCCTCTGAGGATGCCTGCCACAGATGCAGGCAAAATGTCAGGAGAGAGTGCTTCTAGAACATGGCCACACAGCCCAAAGAACCAACAACAACTCAATCATCCATATGCTTATATATTTGAAGGCATGTCATCTTGAAGGTGGAGTTTGCTTGTTTCCCACTCTTCTTGAGTGAATTCATAGAGCAATGAATTCAAATTCCAGGAAAAGCGACTCCACCTAAACTTTAGAAATAACGTCCTGATGGGAGAGTATTGTGGTGGAGTCTCCTGCTCAGGTTGGATGGCCATCTGTCAGGAGTGCTTGAATTGTGAACCCCTGCATGGTGGAATTGGGTTGGACTGGATGGCCCTTGGGGGTCTCCCCCTACTTTGCAATTCCATTAAAACCGGTCCCAAAGTGTCTTTGTTTCAGCCCCGGAATATGAGCAAAGAGCATTAGGGAGCTCTTGCAATGGAGGAGCCCTTAGCAAGACACTTGTTCCAATTGTATGTTGTCCCCTGCACCTGTCCTTCTCTCTGCAGCACTGTCCCACAAAAGTGATGCTATATTAATAGGGTCCTGCTTGGCTTGAAAACCACCCCAAAGCCTTGAGGCCTTTGAACCACACACACACACACACACACAGCACTGGGGTGTGATGATGGTGGAGACGTGGCGTCTTTGTTCATCTCGCCAAGGAATTCCCAGCTTGGAGTTTATAGATTGGCCCCTTTAACTAAAAGAACCTCCAGGGCCCAAAGAAGCAAAGTACACTTTGGTTGGTTGGGTTTTTAAAAAATATTTCTTAGACAAGACAGCCTTTGCCCAGAAGGGCTTAGCATGAAAAATGTATGTGAGGATCCGGCGAAGGGAAGGATGCTGGAAAGAAGCTATCGATCAAGTAGCTCCGAAAGCCACACAGCTGTGCCGCTTTCCTCGCGTTTGCGCCGCGTCTGTTCTTGCCAGCCTCATTGGAGGTGGACGATGGAGCACTTCTTGGGCAAAACCGTACTTTCCCCCACTTTGATCAGAGGGCGGGAAGGGAGAGTGAGCTGCAAGCCGGGCAAAGAGCGGAGGTAGCATCCCTCCGAATGGCCCACCACCCTTTGGATAAAGGAAACCTGTAACAAGAAAGGCACTGGTTTCTTATTACAGCAAAGCACAAGAGAGATCCTCGCCACTGCATACCGTGCAGCTGTGGACAAGAAGCCTACATAGGGACCACCAAATGCTGTTGATATTCTCCACTTGCTTGAACTAGAAAAGTCAGCTATAGCAGATACATAGGTACCCCCAAATGCAGAAGCAATGATCATGATGTGGAGATATTGGAAATATAGATATGTATACATTTATTGTATGTACATTACAAGCACTGAAATGTAGAAAATATCAAGTTCTCTCTGTATTAGAAAGCCAAACTGATAGGACAAAGGGAAGCTGAGGTTTCTGTGTCCAAGGCACAGGCAAGAGGGGGGGGGGGGGGAACTTTCCAGTGGGGGGAGATAAGAAGGTCCCGGTACCAACAGATATAAGTAAAAAGTAAGGGGTTTCTCCCCCTCCATCCTAACAGGTCAAAAGTAGGCCCCTGATGGATGTAAGCTGCTCTTTAGAAAAAATACTCATACATACCCCTTGCATGTTAGAAGATATAATTTGATATTTCTATTATGCCAAAGTGACGTAGTGATGATGTTATGTATGTAGAAGCATGTTTCTTTGTTTGCCTGCATTTGAAGATGTATAAAAGGGGAAAGTCAACGCCTTTATCCTTACTCTGGTTCGCTTTTGGGTGAGATTCCACACCAGAGCCTCAGCTGAAAATAAAAACGTACTTTTCTGTCTCCCAGAAAGGATCACTCTTGGTATTATCTCTCCTATCTGCTGCTACAATCAGACATGAATCAAAGAGAACACAGAAATGCTGGACCACTCTGACCACCGTTGTGTAAGACCACACAGAGGAACCACTGACATCCACAAGAAGCACATGGACAATTTCAACAGAACGGAGAAAACAATGAAAATGAACACAATCTGGATACAAGTATTTAAAAAACACCAGATCAAGACAGTAAATAAAAAACACCACTCAGAAACAGGGGGAACTCCAGACAGCAAACAGTCAAGTGCCAGTTAACACCTTCCAAACAGAGGGTGCCTCCAGGCAACAACAGCCTGGGGCTGCGATGGTGCAGTGTGTTAAACGGTAGAACTGTTGAATCTGCTGACCTAAATGTTGGCAGTTCGAAGCCGTGGGTCAGGGTGAGCTCCTGCTGTTAGCCCTAGCTTCTGCCAACCTAGAAGTTCAAAAACATGCAAATGTGACTAGATCAATAGGTACCGCTTCGAAGGGAGGGTAGTAAAGGTACCCATGCAGCCCATGCCGACAATGTGATCAGGTGGTGTCTACAGACAACAGGATCCTTGGCTTGGACATGGAACAAGAGCACCTCCCCATGGCCAGAGTTGAGAAACATCTCCAGAAAGCTGGAGATGGAAGGGGAAGCCTTTACCTTTATTCTGTGTATTTGTGTGTCATTGTTTTTCCACTGTATGAAAAGGCATTGAATGTTTGCCTATCTGTGTATGTTGTAATCCGCTCTCAGTTCCCTTGAGGAGATAGAGCGGAATACAAATAAAGTGTTGTTGTTGTTGCTATTATTATTATTATTATTATTATTATTATTATTATTATTATTATTATTCCTTCACTGACTGACCTTGTCAAGGCCACTCAATGCTAATCAAGCTTGCTAATTGCAACATTCAGACTTGCTTAAAACAGACAAGGGTTCTTTCTCCCACCTATACACTCCACTGGCCTCACCTTCAACAGACCTCTGAAGATGCCATTAGCCACAGGTGCAGGTGAAACTTCAGGAGAAAATGCTACTGGAACATGGTCATACAGCCTGGAAAATTCACAGCAATCCAGAGAGCACCAATTCATGTCTTCTTCCCATGCCTGCCTGGCTAATTCTGTGATACTCATTGTTTTGCTCTGCCACTTCTGCCAAAACGACTGGCACTTCCAAAACCTGTGGGTTCACTTCTTTTATTTTTCTCTCTGATCAAAAGAAGATGCAGTGTGTCTCGTCTCTTCTTTGACTGTTCCCTCCCCACAAATATTCGCAAGGGCTTTCTGCCCGCTCTGCTAATTTCTCCACTATCCCTCCACCAAAGTTACTGCTCCCTCCTCTGGTCTGGGATTCTCTGGATTGGCACAGTGTTTCATCCCTTCCAACATTTTAATGGACAGAAACAGGGACATGTGCAGCAGAGCAACATCAGAGTGTGGTCAAGATGTGAAAGCTACGAGTGAGGAAGAACACCCAACAAGGAAGTTGCTGTCGCAGTTTGCTTCTGCTTGAGTCTACAGCAGGCATGGGCAAACTTTGGCCCTCCCTTCTGGTGTGTTGAATTTGAATCCCACAATTCCTAACAGCCTCAGGCCCCTTCCTTAAATGACTGAGAAGGAAAAAAGAAAGGGCCTGAGGCTGTTAGGAATTGTGGGAATTGAAGTAAATAAAGAACAACACTCAGAAACAGGGGAAACTCCAGACAAGAAACAATCAGGGCCACCTAATCACCTCCCAACAAAGGATTCTCCAGGCAGGAAGCAGCCAAGCCTTGAAGCTGCAAAGCTATTCAATGCTAATCAAGGTGATCAATTGCAACATTCACACTTGCCTCAAACAGACAAGAGTTCTTTCTCCCACCCTGGACATTCCACAGATACGGTAAACCCCACTTGCCTTGTTTTCAACAAACCTCACAACCTCCGAGGATGCCTTCCATAGATGTGGGTATAACGTCAGGAGAGAATGCTTCTGGTACATATACTTACAGCCCGGAAAACACACAGCAACCCTATCTTCGGAATCCTCTATGCCATTAAAAAAAATAAAGAGTGGAAGTCCTGACACATATTAAACTTGAGTTTTCCATTGCATCCAATACAAGGATCCTTTCTTCTTCCTTGCCCTTGAGAAAGTATAGATAGCATGATTCATTCTTACAAATGGAAGAAAACACCAAAATGCCAAATAATCAAGTTAATCTGCATTCCGAAACTGGATTGTATGGCAATGTAGATCCAGCCATGGGCAAACTTCGGCCCTCCCTACATCGCCCACAGTTCCTAACACCCTCAGGCCCTTTCCTTTCCCACCTCAGCCACTTAATCTGAAAAGAAGGATTAAAGAGAAGGGCCTGGGGCTGTTAGGAATGGTGGGAGCTGTAGTCCAGGAGGGAGGGCCGAAGTTTGCCCATGCCTGCTGTAGACCAAATGCAACGTCCCTCCTATAACTGTATTCCATATTTTCTATTTTCTTTTTGCTATGATCGAGCCTGCTGCTTGCCGCCTCAGAGCAACTTACCCAAGGGGTATGAGGACGAGGCTGCTGCCGAGGGGGCGGAGACGAGCCCCAGGGTAATGCCTAGTGCCTGGCTCCCCCTTCCCTCCTCCTCTTCTTCCTCCCCCCCCCCCATGCTTATTGCGGACCTACTATACAGCGAATCTGCAATAAGCGAACCGCAATATAGCGAGGGAACTCTGTAGTACAAAGTTTGGCAGCCAGGTTATTGACTGAGGCTAGCTATGAGGAGCACCCCACATCCCTATTGAAGCAGCTCTACTGGCCTCCGACTAGTTTCCGGGCTCAATTCAAAGTACAGGTAATTATCTATAAAGCCCTATATGCTTCAGGTCCCACCTATCTTTGAGACGGCATCTCCCGCTATGAACCGGCGCGGGCTCTGAGATCTGCCAGGGAGGCCCTCCTCTCGGTCTCACCTCCACCTCAAGCATGGTTGGTGGGAACGTGAGAGAGGGTTTTTTCAGTGGTGGCCCCCGGCTTTTGAATGCCCTTCCTAGAGAACTTAGGCTAGCCCCCTGTCTTCAAGTTTTCAGAACAAATCTGAAACCATGGCTTTTCAAATAGGCCTTCAACCATGTTTAGAACTCTATCTGCTATACTCAGGACCTAATGATTTGTTTCACTCTAGCACTTATGGGACTGATATAAATTCCAGTTTATTTTTATATCCGCAGCCGCTGCTGCATTTTATTGACTCTTTTAAGTTGGTAGGCGTTTCATGTGATGTTATATGTAGATTGTTTATATGGACTTTGTTGTCATTGTGCTATTTTGTTTATGTACTTTGTTGTATTTTATATGTTTGCACTATTGGACCAGGCTGTGCAGCAGCTAACTGGTAGATATCTGTCTTAAATCACTACTGACCAAAAGGTCATGAGTTCAAAGCCAGCCCAGGTCGGAGTGAGCTTCCAGCGATTAGCCTAGCTTGCTGTCGATCTTTGCAGCCTGAAATATTTATTTATTTACAGTATTTCTATACCGCTTTTCTCACCCCTAGGGGGACTCAAAGCAGAAAGACAGTTTCATCTGTCAAGTAGGAAATTTAGGTACCGCTTTATACAGGGAGGCTAATTTAACAAATTTACGACACCGTATAACCTTCCAGGAGCATGGAAAAGAATGAAGTACTCCATCAAAGGACTCAGTGTCAGAAACGGTGAAGCGGCAGCTCCCCCTGTAGCCAGAATCAACCCGGAATCAATCATATCCTCATGAAACCAGAAATGCTGGAATGTTAAATTGCCTATGTGTCTGTCTAGACATGTTGTATGTCTAATTGGCATTGAATGTTTACCATGTATATGTGCATTGTAATCTCCCCTGAGTCCCCTGCGGAGTGAGAAGGGCAGAATACAAATACTGTAATTAAATAAATAAATACAGTAAATAAATTTTGGGAGGCGCCCCAAGTCCCTTTGGGGAGATGGTGATGGGGTATAAATAAATTATTATTATTATTATTATTATTATTATTATTATTGTTATTATTATTATTATTTATTAAATGCATCACTAAAATCACATATTAAAGCACAAGATGCATTGAAATTAGTGTGAATCTTGCAATCGACAGTGTCTCACAATTGCAGAAACGAGGCATTATCATGGAAGAAGCAAAATACAGGCTACGTGCGAATGCATATAATGTTCTGTGTATGTTTAAATAGATGCCTGAATGGAAGAGTAGCAGGTATATGGTTAACCCATTTACACCCATTTACACTCCAGCTATTTAACCCTCCAGAATTATCTGCGCGCATTTTAGATGGGAAACCATCTAAAATTCACTCCTATTATTATTATTATTATTAAAAATTAGCTTCCAATATATGGCAAATTAGTTTGTTTTAACTAACAAGGGATGGGTTAGAATGGAGAAACTGTATATCCCTAAGGTAGGTAAAAAGGCATAATAATGTAAAGATGGCATAACATATTCATATAGAATGTATATAATATGATTGATGCCTCAGATTCGAACAGAGAGGTAGCTGAACTTATAGACATTCCATATATATTTATATATGCGCGCAAATGCTAAAACCAGTGGCAAAGGAGTTAAATCAATAATGTGGGGTACACATAGCTTGAACATTGAAGAGAGGGCCAGGAAGCGGCAAATGTAACCAAAGCAAGGAAGCAGAGGAACTGATTGTTGCCAAAGAATCAATTGTTTCCTTACTATTCCAAGCCAAATTCAATTCTCTTTGATGTGACTCTCTTTTGGGAGAGATCGAGCAGGGTATAAATAGACATCATAACAACAAGATTAATTTCTGATATTGCAGTTGATCCTTCTGGGGATGCTTTTAGCTAATTGTAGTGTTGTTGTTTATATCCAAAGTGTTTGTTGCTTAAGTTTTTAACAACACTGAATTTTACTTGGTTTTTAACTAGGCAAGAGCTACTTCATATTGCATTTTATGTAGTATTTTAAGTGGTCACCTCACCATTGATGTAGGTAGCATTTTAACGATTTACATAGTATTTCGTGTTGCATTTTATAATCTTCTTTTAAAGTGTTTATTTGAAAGACCTTTGGTCTAAGCATTGAATAAATAACAACAACTAGCAACTAACAACAAACAACAACAACAACAACATATTTCTGCTTCCTAATCCTTTCGAGCTGAAGGCAATATACATCTGATCCTTGAGCTGGGAAAGGGTTAACGGTGGCACGTTAGTTAATCATGAATAAACTACAAAGAAATCCAATCCAACTGCAATTATGCTGAAAGGGGGAACGTTTTTAACAATTGATTTCAAAAATGGTGATTAAATTTACATGGCATTATGGCACTAAAAGCCCGACTAGGAGAAAGATGAAACATTCCCATCCATTTTTTCATTCTTTCACCGATCCTCATTTTGAACCTTGGAGAGAAGGAAATGCATGTACAAACTTTTCAAATATCCTTTTCTCCATTGAGAAGCCCCTTTTCTTCCTTTCCCTTTATTCCTCCCTTATATTTCATCTCCTGTTTTTTCCCCCCGTTGACCAATTCCTATGTGAATCTATGTAAAAATCCCAAAGTTAAGGGCTTTAAAACTCAATTTTCCAAGAAGAGAAGAAGGGCTCTGCCACAGATGTCACAAGGACTGTGGCCTAGCCTCCTTCCAAGTTCCTTAATTCTGAGCAATTCAATTAAATCAATCAATCAATCAATCAATCAATCAATCAATCAATCAATCTATCTATCTATCTATCTAAGTCAGTGTTTCCATGTATGTGTGTATGTATGTGGCAGCTTTCTTTGTATGTGTGTATGTATCTGGCAACTTTCCGATTGGATTCCATTTTCAGCGACCACTGCAACCTGGACCAAACTTGGCACACAGACATACCTGCCCTGAACATACTGAAGACGTTTGGGGAAAATTGACCTGGATTTATGGGAGTTATAGTTCACCTGCAGCCAGAGAAACTGTGACCCCCACCAACAATGGACTGGGACCAAACTTGGCACAGAGAAGCCCCATGACCAACCAAACATCCTGGAGGGGTTGGAATTGATCTTGATTTCAGAGAGTTGCAGTTCACCTGCATCCAGGGATTACTCAATCCAGCCGACGACGGATCTGGACGAGACTTGGCTCACAGACCTAACATGTCCAACTGTGAATATTGGAAGTGGTTGGGTCACAGGCCCGTAGCCAGGATTTCGTTTCGGGGGGGGGGGGGGCTGGGGGGGGGGGGGGGGGGGGGCTGAGTCTGAGTGAAAGAGGGTCTAGCCTAGCAAACTTTTTGTATCATTACCCAATACCCCCATGCATATGGGATATATTGAGTATGGTGATCAGATCATGATATGAATAAACATAACAGTTTAAATAATGCACCAGTAAGGCCTTTTCGCGAACCACCATGAGAATTTCGGGGGGGGGGGGCTGAAGCCCCCCAAGCCCCCCCCCCCCCCCCCACATGCCTGGGTTGGGAAGGATTGAACCACGATTCTGGGAATTGTAGTTTAGCCACATCCTTATGCATTTACTAATGGGAGCATTCATAAAAAACAAAAGGGCAGACTGGCTTTTTCTTAATAAATAGTGTTACACATTACCAAACTGATATTACCGAACTTCTCAAAACAAACAATGCCTTTTTCAAATAACCAGGGTATTGTCGGGTCCTCAAGCTGATAAATAAATTTAAAAAAGAACTTCCAAGAGGTTGTTTCCCAGAAACTCAAGCCAGTATTTTTGGTTCATACTGTGGCAATGTCTTTATTAAGCCAGACCAAATGGAATACAATTAACCGCGCAAGCTTTCAAAATACAAACATAAGACAAGAGCTTATATTAATTTTTGCTCCATTTGATGTGCCAAGGATCATTTTCAGGGGGTGTTTTATTTTTCCAAATGGATTATTAAAACAAATTAGGGCTTATATTTTGAACATCTGAAAAACATCCCGAAAAACCATGCTAGGGCTTATTTTTGGGGTAGGGCTTATTTTCAGGGGATGTCTTATTTTCCAAATTGACCTTTTAAATGAACTATAACTAGAGCTTATCTTTGAAGAAGGGCTTATATTTCAAGCATCCTCAAAACATCCCAATAATCATGCTAGGGCTTATTATCAGGGTAGGGCTTATTTTTGAAGAAATGGGGCTCTGTCTCTTTATGATGAAAAGATGGTCAGGAGGCATGCAAAGGGGAAAAGGTTGTGAAATGACATACAGTCTGCAATAAAATTCGGTTTCCCATTTGAAAACCTTTGCAAAAATGTGAAAACTCCAATCTGTCTATTCCAATCCAAAATCTCATAGGAAGGGAGAATTCACCATGTATTTTTATGGATGGAAATAACATGTGGAAATATTTGCAAATGGTCCAAAAGAGCATTCTCTATAGTGACAGGAAATCCCAATGAGGAAAAGACTGGAATCTTTGTAGTTCTGCAGTCATTCTGCATACAATCTGAACAGCTACATTCCTAGATTAGTGTCAGGCAATTTTAGACACTGGATCAAACAAAGCATATACATAAAGGTGAGATTTACTTTTGGTTGGAAAGAATACATTCTCAGAAAACCAAGTGTTAGTCCAAGATTATATACGAGGGTGGGTCAAAAAGTCCCATCACTCTTTTATGTCTTTCACAGCTACTGGACTATCTATGCATGATATGATAGAAGTAACCTTACTCTACTGATACAGTCTTTTTTCCGATTGACTGATTAGAACCATGGATCTGAAGCTCAAAGAAAGAGCCGTCATTGAATTTATGGCAAAAGAAGGTTGTGCACCTCAGGAACTCCATCATTGCTTGGAGAATGTTTATGGGGACGCTGTAATGGACATCTGTAATGTGCAGCATTGGGTGAAAAGTTTAAAAGTTTCAGATTCAATGATTTGAATGACATTAAAACAGCTTTAAAATACTGGGTCACCAAGCAAAACCCTGTATGTGTGTATGTGTGTGCATTCATATTGCAGATGAACCAACGCCCCCCCCCCCCCTTCTTTTTCTCTATTTCGGCCTAATAAAGAAATATTATTTCTTTTTTCTCACTTACCTAATGAAACTATTACGCCAGTATGATGGATTTTGGAATACCCTTGCATTCATTATACAGGTTATTGGCTCTTTAGGTCTGAGGATCTAAGCAAGCAGCCATCATCCTTACAACGTAGAGATTCTTTTAAAGTCGTGGGAGGACAATGATGTCAAATGCAAAGCAGTTGCTGAGTTTTGAGGAGTGTTTTAAAATCAGGCTCGGGAATGAAGACAGCTCCATGACTTTAGAATAAATGCAACCTCTTATGGTAAATTTATATTTTTAAAGGAAGATTTACAACTTTTATGCTGAAAGTGGGCTGGTGCCAATTCTTAGCCATTGCTTCCTCGACTCCAGAAAAGAAAAACAATTGCACCCATTAGGCACACATTCAGTGCCATTAATTATCATATTATGGGAGGAGATTAAAAAATACATCAAATTACAGGACTGGTCAGTTTTGATCAAATATTCTGAAAGTAACTTTTTAATACAGCTATTGTATTTCTAAATAAATCATAGAATCATTGAGTTGGAAGAGACCTGGTGGGCCATCCAGTCCAACCCCTGCCAAGAAGCAGGAAAATTGCATTGAAAGCAATTCAAATCAACGTCATCGTGTTTATCTTGGGTGTGATAATTGTATTCCCTTGAGGTGAAATGTTTTGCTTTGCTTTGGAATCTGTTTCTTGACATCATTATTTCTTGGTTACGTTGCATCAGTTTTGGAGAAGTATTTGCTTGAACATTTTAACAATCATGTTAAAATGTTCAACCTAAGGCCCCGATTCAATACATGGGAGAAAGAAATTTGAATGATTGGGATCCTAATCTTTGCTCCGGTGTCCTTTGACAGCAAAAGATTGCTTTACATTTCCTGGCTCAGAGGATACAAATCTTGGTGGTTTGTTGTGGATCTTTAACATTCTAAACAACTTGCTTCCTTGCATCTTTATAGGTGAAATATTTTAATTTCGCACACAAACAGTGGTATAGAAAAAGAGGTTGCGTTGTTAAGAGCACTAGTTTATATATGAGCTTTTTCTGGTCACCACAAGATTGGATCCAAATTCAACAAACCATTTAGTTAGTGGTCCTTCAACTTTTATTATTACAGTTTTAAAGGAATGCCTTTACAAAAGGGCACTGGGCACAGCTTTTCTGGAACACAAAAATGGTAATACAATATTGTTAATTCAGGAGTTGATGCAATAACGGAGTGCATTCCAAAATTTCCAACATGGCAAGAGTGCATGCAATAACGGAGTACAAGTCCTTCCAAAATCTCCAACATTGCAGGAGTGCATGCAGTAACAGAGTACAAGTCCTTCCAAAATCTCCAACATGGCAGGAGTGCATGCAATCACAGAATACAAGTCATTCCAACATTTCCAGTATTTGTCCAAATAAATCCTGACCTACATCTCACATTTCATGTCAGCCCCACTAACAACTCTGTTCTGTCTTCCACTAGTTTACCCCTCAATCTTTTTGGATATTTTTGTGCCCAGATCTGCAGTCTGTCTGTTGAAGAAATGTGACTGCAAAAAGCTAAGGCATTGGGCAGAACTGTCCCTCCTTTGCCCTGATGCTCTTTCAAAAGGTGAAACGGCAGCGACAGATATGACTCCGCAGCACAAGATCCTGGATCCTAGTCTCTTTTTGATATCAAAAAGATATCAAAAGGAGATATCAAATGCCGATATCAAAAGGAGAGATGCTACCAATTGAAATCCCTTTGCTTAGAAGTCAACATGCTTTCCAATATTTGCCCATCTTTGTGGCCCCATATTAGCCAAACTGATGGCTAAATTACATTCTGGATTATTTTCCTCTCAAAGTATTGCTATCAACATTTATATGCCACCACACCAACTATTGCTCTCCTATAAAATCATTTCAAAGGGCAGGAGAGGGGTGGTTCTGTTAAGTCTGTTGGAGCCACATGGAAAGAATCCTCTGGCATCTCGAATACAATCTCAGGACATGAGTCCACTTTATGATAAAATCCTGACTCTTACAGATGTCTTGACCGTACCTCCTGTTGGGCTGTCCCAATTCTCCTTGTGTGTTCTTCATTTATGGGCAACACACACAGAGAAAAAGAGAGATGGCAACAAATGACAGTCAATACAAAGGCAATGGGTACCTTACGAAAGCCAAGAGAAGATAGCTAAGTGGCTTTACTACGGCGTTGATGCAAGCAGTTTTGCTCAGCTGCAGGATGGTAGTAAGTCAATATAAGATGAGCCAGGGTGGTCAGAGTCAAGGTCTCTCTTGCCTGAACATCCTTTCTTTCCCACGGTGGCCAATGCCTCTGAGAAGCCTAAAAGGGGAAGCAATGGTCTTGTTGGCTGCTCCGTCCTGTGCTGTCAGCAACTGAGAGTCAGCGCCACATTGCCTCTAGTAACAGAGTCCTTATTTCCAATGTAGCTGGAAGGCAGCTTAAAAACCACCCTGTTCCGTTTGATAAAAGCTGTCCAAAACTCATACAGATTGGCATATCATCCTGCAGAGCCACACTAAGAATGTAAGGAACAGCCTTATCCTGAGCAAGGTGTTGGTTCATACAGCTTAGTGTTACCTGTACAGACCGGCAACATCTCTCAGTGACACCAGATCAGTGGATTAAACTGGGGAGTGAACCTGAGATGTTTTTCATGTACTCAACCTCTGGATTTCTCAACCAATTTACTTGTCTTGTTTCTACTTACATCCATGCAGGTGCTGCAACTGATTTGGACGCTCTGAAGTTTCTAAGGTGACGAGAGCAAAAAGTTCTCTTGTGCGCTGTGTCCTTCTTGTTCTCAGTGGAGCGGCAGGAGAAAGCAAACATGCACAAACAGACACACAAGGCTTTCTGGGATGATTTCTGACTATACTAATGATGCAACCAAACTGCCTTCGTGTGCAAAGAGAGAAAAGCCCCTTGCTTTTCTGCACACCAAGGGGCAACCTTCCCAAATTTAAGTCCATCTTGCAAAAAAGGTAATAATATGGCTCAGACTTAGAACAGATTCCTCCACTGCCTCTTCCTGGATTCCTTCTGACCACAGTTATCACTGGCAACCAACCAAACACACACTCGCAGCTGTAATAATCTTCTCACAAGTTATCATGAAGCAAGTCCATAAAAGCTTATGCGACATAAGGTTGGTCGGTCTCATATGGGGGCCACACAAATCTTTGATATTTTTGCTCCAAGAGGGTTGACTTTGGACCTGATCATGCCCGAGACAAGAGTATCCAGAAACCTCACCCCATCCTAAAAGTTCATACATACTGCAGATATGAAGATATTGAATAAAGCAAAACAGACAAAATAGATATGTTTCAAACAGCTAAAACCAAAGCTACAAGCCTACATCAAGCAAAGTTACTGATATCCTATTGATTTTTCAGGGAGAATAGCAACTCACATTGCTGAACTGATGGATACTCTCTGAATAGCATATCTTTAAGCCTGGCGTCACATGAATGCTATTTCAATGAGAAAAGGGCACCGTTTCAGCTAAGCTAAGTCGGCAGTCAAACCAAAGTTAAGTTTATCATCTGAAAGGTCAAAGTCGGAAAGGCAAACTCTGAGTATTGTCTGCATTGTTTGTGGAAATGACTGGAGTCTTTGCTCAAAAAAAAAAAGAAAAAGAAAAAGAAAGATGCAGCAGTCCTTGTTCATTTGGGAGTTTGAAATTGAGAGATTTGTAAATTAAACCCTCTGTGATGGTGGCTTTATTGGCAACTGAAAGATTTGCAAAGGCTTCACATTAACAATTCCGTCATCTATATGCAAAGAGAGAGTCAGTTTTATAGTTACACAAACACTTTTTGGCAAGAGGATCTGTTAGCAAGAAGCCCAAAGTTCTATCCGCTCAGAGGGCACACTTCTTGGTAAATTGCAAACTCTGGGAAATTTGTTGCAAACCTTGTTATTGTCACTTTAAAAAAAAACCCAAAAAAGCATAGGTTCACAAAAATCCTTATTTTGCAAGGGATGAGGATCAGCAGTACCTGACCCCTTCCCCACCACACACTTTTCAAAGGAGAGATTGACACACATGCACACTTGTGTGGGGAAAGCATCCAGGCAGAATGGATGCCCGTCCGATGCACCTGCTGCAGTTCGGCCCTGAACCTGGCTCCCCTCCAGCCCCATTTGTCCAGTCCCTTTCTTTGAGGGGAAAAGGAATCAAACCCCAAGCCTCTTACCTTGAAGCAGGACCTTCTGCCTCGGTGCGTCTCTGAGCTCTCTGCCTGATCTTCTTCTCCCTGTGAAAAGGAGAGAAGTGCGTGAGTTGGTGCGCTAGGTATATATTGTCTGCGAGTCTGGCCTTAGGGTGTCCATCGCGCGACCTGGGTTTGCTCCTGCCCCTATAAGGCAGATAATATTGTCACATGCCTTGTTGCTCCCAGCGATCCGTATGGCAAGATGGGGAAAGGGGGGTGGGCTAAGGGTGGAGTGGGGGCGAGAAGAAGAGAAAGGAGAGAGAAAGAAAGACAGATGGAGAGAGAGAAAGAGAAGGGAATCTTTAAATGGGGGAGAGGCAAAGAGAATTTCCCTGCGCAAACCCCATAAGACCCCAATCCCCACCTGACCAACCTATACTTTCCCCCCTCCTCTCTTCTGTATTTTTTTTTTTTTTTTTGGCTAGCTTCTTTTTGTATCTGTGGCTCCTGGCAGCGCCTTTCAAGTCCCATTCGAGGCCTGGAAGATGTGAAGCGAAGTTTGCCTTGATCCACTTTCTCTGGGTTTTGTCTCACTGGGAGCAGAGAGAGAGCAGGATTTGGTGTGAGGATGCTTTGCAAGTGCGTATAGCTATGCGCACACGCACACACTTTGTATAAGAGATCCTACATCCACATAAAGCAGAAGAAATAAAACCTCGATGCTTCCAACTTTATCTCCCCTGTGCACTGCACTTGTTGAGAGTAACAATGATGCCATTAGAATCACTTTACACACCAAAGCAAATTGATTGCAGATTAGCCACCTGGCCGTGGAGAGAGAATGGGACATAAAAGAGGTCTTACCAAAAACAAATTAAACTCACAATATATTTTATTCTAATTTTTGCATGTTAAATATGTGTATGATTCATAAGTGAGTGGGGGAAACAAGTTACTAGCCCTTAAGAATCTTTTGATCCTAGCCACACAGATAACATCTTGCAAGTAGAAAAGGCGGCATTCCTGCCTCTTTCCACAAACACTTTACAATCCAAAAATTGTAACATAGACAGAAGGAGACTAGGGAAGGTATTATTTGCTCTTACAATGAACAGGAAAATTGATTTGTTTTCACCAATCAGTTTCAGATTGGAACATGGCAGGCAAGTCAAGCACCATGAGATGTTAATACATTTAACAAATTCTCCTTAATTTATTTTGTTTTGTTTTAGGGGATCCTTGTTGGCACTTTCCTTATCCTCTGAATTACTTCTGAAACTAAAGACAGGTGTAATAATTGACATTGAAATGTACAAATAATTCTGCCTTTGCTAAAATTAATGAGGGGGGGGGGGAATGGGGCAAAATTCCTTTTTGGGTTCCCAAAATTAGGAACCTCCAGAATCCAATGACCTGCTTTCACTTGTACTTCATCCATTGAGTGATTTAAAAACATGATCAGCCATACATTACAGTTCGTGAGAAATACAGCAGCACAGTTGCGATGGCTGGGAAATTTTGTAATTCCTGGGTTGAAATCCCTGCCTTGCCACCAATCCATGAGGAAGTTTAGGGGAAGTCATTTACTCTCAGCCTCAAAAACTCCACTCGCAAAAAAACAGCCACATGTCATCCTTGGCGACCGAAAAAGAAAGAATTGTGACCTACCTTACTTTGTCATTTCAAAGCTGGAGCACAGTTATAAATGGTGGGAAAAGATTGCACAGTTACAATGGCGGGAAGATTCGGTTGCAGAGCGGAATGAGAAAGAGACTTACCTTACAGTGAAAGGTTGTGATGAGGTTCGCCCCTGAGCAAAGTCCTCTGAACCTTCTTCTTGGCCAATTTTCTCTGCCTGAAGCCCGGCAAAGATCAGCACCAGGCCATCAGGGACCAGAGGAAGTGCATATGGGCCGGTTCTTCGCTCAAGCCGTTGGGTAAATTGGATCTCGGGATAGATGCCGGTCCAGGGCTTTCCTTGCCTCCTCCTCCCAGCCTTCAGAGCTCTGGAAGCCAATCGGCCTGACAGTCCCGCAGAGCAGAGTCTATACAAGTTGGAGGAACAAACCCACTCTCCGCCTCTCCTTCCCGCAGAAGGGAAAAAGGGCAAGAGGGCGCTTCGGTTTCCATGCAGAGGTTGCCGGCATAATTGCAGTCCTATGCCAATGAGCCTCTATAGGTAGCCTCTTGGCATGTGGCATCTATTAAAATAAAGTTTAAAAAGTCATTACAAAACTAGGGGGCACCAGCATTTATTTCCAAAGTGTTTTTAAAGTATTGCTAGTAAAAAAATGGTTACTATAATGAGAGTAATGAAATTCTGTTACTTTTCGTTATAGTAACTGCGCTCCTTTCTCCCTTATTGTTAGAGCCATCAACATGAAACTTGTTATGTTTATAGAACACTTTGACCACTGTTTGTCCATCAAGTTTCAGAACATTTCACTTATCCACGTTTTTTGGAGGGGGGGGGGTTCCAAAGGTTTATAACAACATTTTTATTTTTTTTAAAAACCTACAAGAGCTAGACCAGGCATGTGCAAACTTGGGCCCTCCAGGTGCTTTGGACTTCAACTCCCACAATTCCTAACAGCCTCAGGCCTCTTCTTTTCCCTCCTCAGCCAGGTTTGTACATGCCTAAGCTATCTACTTGAATTTTCTCTATAATGACACAAGATAACAGGGGATCATTCCCCCCAACTTCACATATCTACTGATTTTAGGGAAATTTTAGAAGTTTTGAAAAAAACTTTTTTAAAAGCCACAACAGCTATCTCATTGAATGTCTCTTTTATTAACCAACCAAACTTCCACTGAGGCATTTCCTCCCAGCCCAGCACAGAGATTGACTTACTAGAAGTCTCAGCCAGTTATCCTCTTTGCAGATTCAACCATTCATGGGAACTCTGGAAGGCTGCTGCAATGGAGGGACAAATCTCTCCCCTCTCCTGATTGGGCCTTCCAGATGATGAGCAGAATTCTGGGAAATAGAGTTCAGGGCTGGGCCTTTTGCATTCTCTGGCATAGGGCTCCTAGCTTTTCCAAACTGCATTTCCCAAAATGCTGTGCTTCCTCTGCATCTTTCCCAGCTCACTCAGCTCATGGTGAGAGGCAGCCTTTTTGGCTTCACTTCGCTTGCTTGCGCTGAAAATGAAACCGACTTTGATAGGTTTCCGAGCATCGAAGAATTCAAACAAAAAGTATTGGGTGAGTTTTCATTCTTAAGTTTTTGGTGGCCGCCCCTCCCCTCTGTTTCTTAATATCTGTTAGTCTATGCAAAACTTACTAATTAGATATGACTTACAATTTAGTTTTGCACACCCTTAATAGTCACTGACTTTGTCAAAATTTCTGGTATTTTAGGTACAATATTTTAGGCACAACATTGTGTTATGGTCTGATATGGGGGAGGTGCATGGGGGGAACACACTATGTGGTATTGCACCAGATGGCACCAATGCTAGTGACGTTCCAAAGCATAAAAAGATCCAAAACCAGCAGAGAGTAAATGACCTGCAGCTATGGAAAACCAAGGAAAACCAATGGAATGCAGCCCTGTTTGCTCATCTGTTCGATCCGGAATAAGACATTCAAAGGCAGTCCCATTTAGAGAGCAATACACCAGTTGAGCCTACTGAT